TCAATACAGTTTAGCAGCTGTGTGAACCGGATAGACAAGTACTAGATTAGCTCTTCATTTAAAAAAAAAAAAGGAATTGCCCTCCCCTTCTCCCCACCAACACACAAACTCACAAAACAAAAAGTCTGTCTCATAAGTTTATTAACAGGAACAATGCTAGTTCCCCCTTTACCAGTAAATCAGGGATCAATATCATAGTATATTTCTACCTTATTCCCTGTACCATGTAATTTGAGTGAATTAACATCTGGTCTCACAAATGAAAACTAAGTCCTTTACAATAAAAGGATGTAATTGATTGATTGTGAAGGTAATTGATACTCTTTTTTCAGAAAAGGGATAAAAGCCTCTTTCTTTGTAAATAATTATTCTTGATAATCTAAGTGTGAGATAAGACCTTAATGTGATGCTGCTCTGAAACACAGCATGGCAAGGAGAAATGAATTTGACTCTGTAAGTCACTGAAATGAGGAAGTCAATGTAGAAACGAGAGTTTAACTACAGTAGTTTCTTTCCCTCTTTCTCCCTACTCCATTCTGTCAATCTCTCCTTTACCTATCCATTTCCATCTTTCTCCTACCTCTCCCTCTTCCTCCTCCTCCCTCTCTCCCTCCCTTCCTCTCCCTCATATGCACACACCAATGTGCAATCTTAATAAAGCCAAAGAACAGTTAATTACAGTCATTTCTAACTCAGAGCCATATAACACATTAAATTAGTAGAAATTTGTCAGTAATGTAGCATTTCAAAATAGTCATGCATAGATATAATGTTACTACAATCATATGACTGCAATAATACGCTTATGTACTAAAACCAAAAAGTACATCTGAACAAATGAGTTCTGAGTCATATAATTTTTAGTTCATTAGTACTTTATAAAATATGCATTAACATCAACTTCCTAATAAAGAATACATCAGGACACTCATGCAGGCTTTTGAATGAGCTGTGTTGAACAAATTATATTTTCTAAAGTAATGCCTCTATACAATTTATCATTTCAATCTAATGCAAATAACTAGATGACTTGTATAAATTTATGATTGTCATACATCTTTGGAATCATAGATTTTTCGGATCCCAAGATGTACAGAACACGCCTGCCATCAAGGACCTTCATTTTTTTAGTTTTTTTTTTTTAGGGCAGGTTGAATCATGTAAGATCTATTAGCTACATGATATCTAATTGAATATAGAATGTACTACTTAAACTTTAAGGTTCTGTAATTCATTTGTTAACATATTTTTTATTTGCAATGATATATCTTTAATGAGGAGTTTAAAATAAAATGAACTGATCGTTTCAAAAATCTCATTAAACACTTTCAATAAGTCAACTACAAGCTACTGTTTTAAGTTCTGGGATACAGCTGTGTGCAGGGGGGCGGGGGAGAGGTGGGGGAGAGGAAGAGAAACAGAGTGCACGCATTTTAAAGGGGGAAGTTAATTTTGGAGGGGTAACGGGGTTTGACTTTGTTTCTTCTTCTATCTTTTGTTAAATGTTTTATTGAAGTACAACGTAAGTGCCCAGAGGGTACAGCTTAATGAATTTTCACAAAGGGAACACATTCCTGAAGCCACAGTACAGATCAAGGGAAAAAGTGCCCAAAGCCTCCCTTAAGCTATGCCTTAGTCATCAACTCCACCAAAGATAAATCATTATCCTGACATCTTCCATCAGAGATTGGTTCTGCTTGATTTTGAACTTCATACGTATAGAAGAATCACACAGGCTGTATTCTTTTAGGTCAAGTGTCTTTGATGCAACATTGCATCTGTGAAATTTATTCATGTTGTTGTAAGCCACCTTCTTCCTCACTGCTTTCTAGTGTTCCACTGTATGATTATACCACAATTTATAAGCTCATTCTAATGTTGACGGACATTTGGGTTGTTTCCAGTTTGGGGCTATCAGATATAATCCTGCCCTAGTGCTTGTCTTTTGGTGAACACACGTAATGATGCATTACTGTTGGGTATACACATATCTAGCAGTGAAATTGCTGGGTCAAGGGTATGTGTATATTTGACTTTAGTAGATAGTTCCAGTCTACTTTCCAAAGTAGTTATATAATTTACATTCCCATTCGGGACTGACGATTGCTCACATCATCATTCATACTTGCTATTGTCAATCTTTTTCACTATAGCCATTCTGGTGGGTGTGTAGTGGCATCTCATTGTGGCTTTATTTGCATTTTCCTAATGATTAATGAGTCTGAGCATCTTTCACATGCATTGGCCATTTGGATATTCTCTTTTTGTAAAATAGCTGTTCAAGTCTCTTGTCAATTTTACCATTAGATTATCTCCTTTTTTCTTATTCATTTGATGGGGTTCTTTATAAATTCTGGATGAAAGTCCTTTGTTGAATACATGTATGTATATATTGAAATACTTTCTTGCACTTTATAATTTTCTTTCACACTCTTAAAAATGCTTTTGATGAACATGTACTTAATTTTAATTAGTCCAACTTGTATATATTTTCATTATATCTATTATTTCTGTGTCCTGTTTTTAAAGTCTTTGCTTCTACCAAGGTCATGAATATACTCTCCAAAGCTTTGATATGCAATCTACCTGCAACAGATTTATGGTTCTTGCGAATGGGGTCCAAATAGGTTAAAAAAAGAGGAAGTTCAGTGGCCTTTATAGCTTTTGCTTCTAAAGAAGAGCATATGTTAGCAACTCCAAGAAAGTAAACAAAATGCAAGCAAAACTGAGCCAAAAGCTATATCTATTAAGATGTAAAGATGGTCAAGCTTCTATTGAAGGAATCTTTTAGTGAATAAATATTATCTTGTTAACCCTTATTGAAAATAAACTGAATAAAAAGGGTACTGTTGAAAAATATACTACTTATTTACAAAGAATGCAAAATACCTACTTTCTTCTGGTAACTCTTAAACATTCTTAAATTCTAAAAAAAAAAAATCCAAATTCTAAAATAAAACAAAGCAAAAAACCTCAACCCTCAGCTTTTTAATACATATTTAGAAAAACTTCATAGACCAGTGTTGTCCAGTAAAAATATGTGAGCCAACTACATTAATTTAAATGTCCTAGTAGCCACATTAAAAATAAAAAAAATAAAAAATCAGGTGACATTAATTTTAATAATATTTTATTTAATGTAAAAGATCCAAAGTACTTTCATTTGGATATATGGCACTAGCCACATTTCAGGAGCTCAGCAGCCACATGTAGCTAGTAGCTACTATACTGGGCAACCCAGCCACAGACAGTCACATGAATACAGTGGCCTCCTTCATAAATATTATAATTTACATATCTACAGATGAACCAATTGTATGCTCCTATTACAGCCATATGTTTAAAGAATAACACAGTGGTTCTCAATACGTAGCTTCTGGACTTTTCACATAGGCATCAAATAGGGTTGTTAAAAAATGCAAATTCTTGACCCCACTGCAGACTTTCTGAATCAGCATCTCTGGGGGTAGGTCTAACAATCAGTGTTTCTGTGATTCTGATGTGTGTTCCAGAACTCTGGGAATAACAGGGTTATTTCTGTCTCATACAGTGATATTAAGTCTGTAGTACAATGTTATAAATGTACTGTCTTGTCAGAAGCAGTAGAGTGGGGGGAGGGTGTACTTCATAGTCAGGTTACCATCTCACATATTCCAAATGAGACCTCTCATGGCATGACAATAGTCTATTACTCTCTGTGAAAGGAGAAAGATTTTTTTGTTTACTGATGATTCTCAACTACCAGAGGCATCTATTAAATTTGCAGAAGCAAAACTTGGGCCCACACAGAAATAATCAGAGCAAGAAAATTGTATTATAGAGAAAAGCAAATAACTGCTTTCCCCTTATTAGCTCTGTATAAATAAAATGAATATATAAAGAAGTGCTTGAAGAACTTTTACTTTTTTAAAATATTCATTCCTTTAGCTTGGGTATATAATCTTGGGAGATGCGATTTTATTAGATTAATGTCTCCTCGGAGGGAGGGAGTTTTCCCCATGTTTGTCACTGTGCTATCCCCAGCTCATAACACAGTACCAGACACCTAGTAGGTTCTTAAATATTTGTCGAATGAACGAATGGAGGCTTGATTAATCCCTCTTTGTTTCTCAGATTTTGGTTC